CAAACTTTTTGATGGGATTTTGATTGATGATCCTGAAGAAGAAAATGTGGAAAAAAAGACTGAAGAAATTGAACCTTTTATAAGAAATTTGCCAGGATGTGATGAAATTAACCAAGAAAAGATACGTGAGTGGTTAGCAGCCGATGACTCAGAAAGTGAATTCATAGGCGAAGACATTATTGATATGGTTCTTCATCCAGACAATCTAAGCGTATCAGACGACGAAGATGACGACCCAGTAGACGACAGGCAGCACAACGCCGACGACATTTTCAATGCCTTAGAGGTAAGAATGTTATACAGTAGGTGTAATTAGTTAAGGACACGGCTAGGTTCTTAATTTTTGTTGTCGTGGCATAACGTTTTGTCTTTTTCAGATTGCTTTACGTTTCGTCGAACAATCTAATGAGCAAAACCGCATGACGTTCTGCAAATGAAACGATGGAGAGATATAGCTGCAAAACATCGTATTCAAAAACAAAAACGGAAATAGACGATATCTTAAAAAAAAACAAGAACATGTTAATTTTCAAGCTAAATACGTCGATAGCAATTAAAGTAAACTGTATACCCAAGCTTAATCAAGCCATTCAGAGCGGTGCTGGGAATAATTATATTCCAATATGCACTAACAATTTATGTATTCTCAAAAGTCCCATAATATAACATGAAAAAAAAAACAACAGATAGAAAAACTTATTTAATAAATACAGCAGTTCATTTAGTCCAAGATTTGACAGTGAACATAGTTGAAAACCTCTGTATTTTTTATATTTCTTGAAATTTTGACAGTATATAAAAAATAATTCAAACATCAAAACCTCCCCTTGAAAATGTGTGCTTTTCCTCTGGGGGTGTAAAAAATTTATCAAAAACAAAAGGTCAATGTAAAGATCATGGTAAAGGTAATGGATTTTGACAAGAGCTATGACCTTGTAAATAACAGGTAAACTTATGTACTGAATCGGCATGACTCATAGCTCTTGTTAAAATCCATTACCTCTAGTCGCTAGTATTGTAAATTTTAAGACAAAAATATTGTTTGCAGCTTTTTCGAAAAATCAATATTTTTGGAGTTATTCGTGACTGAAAGTTCACAAATAACACGTCAAATAAGTATGTTTTTGAATAATTTTTCGCTCCAAAACTCCAACAATTTAGATTTTATAGAGGAAACTGCTTGAATATAAAAATGAAACATAAAAAATTTTATTATTGCCATAAATTTCATATTAACAAAGTAATGGTTGTTAGAAAATAGACTTTTATTCAGTGAATACAAAAATCCAAACATATGATCTTGAATGAGCGGAAAACGGTAGGTTTTTCATGGAAAATTTGTAAAAAATTTTTTAAAGATCTTAAAGAAACCTTTAAAATGGCCATTAGTAAAAGCCATTTGCATGAAAATTAAGGTAAGTTATAAATAAAATAACGACCGTTTATTTTTTTGTGACACAGAAAATAACAAACTGACCTCCGCCAAAATCCTCCTGGTTGAAACTATTCGTTGTTCATTTACAATTTACTTCAACTATATACCTACATAATTACATTCTGGAAGTTTAACTGGTTTAGAAGGTTTAGTTTTGAAAAAATCAGAGTTTGAAGTGAAGACATTATTTTTGGAATTTCTCAAAAAATCCCCTTTTTACAAAATACTCAACAATTAAAAAATAGAAGAAAAAAAAGCTAGAATATAAAAACAGTTTTTCTAATAGAAGATTTTAATTTATTTTTATAAACCCAAAATTAAACAAGATATTATTGTTTAAAGGTTGTATTCGCATGTGTTTAGCACCACCTTCAAGCACTGCAGCACAACCCTTTTAAAATGAAGGCTTGTAAAGAATATAAAATACACCACTTATAGTTTTAAAATGGATTGCGCTGAAAGGGCTTGAAGATAATGCTAAACACATGCCAATACAACTTTTAAACAATCATCTCATTTAATTTTTAGAGTGTAGAAATAAAAAAAATCAAAATCTTTAGTAAAAAAAAGGTGTTGTTTGTACTGTTTTCTATTGTTTCTATATCTTTTTCAGTTATTGAGCTATTTTGAAAAAAAGAGGATTTTTGAGAAATTCCGAAAATAGTGTCTTCACTTTAAACTCTGATTTTTTGAAAACTAAACCCTCTAAACCAATTATATTTCCAGAATATAACGTTTGAATATAAATAAAGTATGTTTTAAATGAACAATGAATAGTTTCGGTTTAACAAACATATAGCAGAACATAAAAGGGCTTTCAATAATAGGAAAACAGATTCTACATACGCACTTCCTTCTAGATCTTAATCATTCTTTTAATGACGAATTTAAAATTATTCATATCCAAAATAAAGGCTTTAAGCTATATTTATTAGAATCTATGGAAATTAACAAATTAAAAAACACAGACATAATTCTGAATGACCAACTTGAGACAAACAGTTCTCCTCTCCTCAACATATTTCGTAAAGGCTATAAATTGTAAACACATCCAAAAATAGATCATTTGAGAAAGGCACTCTGCCGAAACAGCTGTAGTGATAAAATATTATAATAAATTTTGTGAAAGTTTTGAAAACAAAGTTAAAAGTCTACTTTCGAACAGCCACAACTTTGTTAATATAAAGTTTACACTAATAATAAAAAAAAAGAATCTCTTTGTTTTTTAAGCTTCATTTTATATAGAAACAGTTTTTCCAATAAAATCCAATTTCTTAGAGTTATTTGCGAAAAACTGTTAAAACACATGCTGTTTTGACATGTAATTTGTGAACTTTCAGTCACGAATACTACAAAAATATTGATGTTTCAAAAAAAAAACTCTAAAGAACATTGTTGTCTTAGAATTCACCATTCTAGCAACTACCACGGTATTCTTTTGATAAACTTTTCCACCCCCAAATTATGGTGGTAACCATCTCGAGAGGTTAAGCACATAATACCATAGGGTAAATTTTGATCTTTCAGCTTTTTTCTACCTACTGTCAAAATTTAAAGCAAATCCATGCATATAAAAAAAATTGTAAGCAGAAAACCGTCATATCCTGGATTAATTTGCAATTTGCTCTTGGTTTTTTTTATCAAATCTTAATGGTGATGAACTGGATATGAATATGTTGTGAACTGAAGCAGGAGGATACCAAAATTTTAATTTACTTCTTATCCATGACGCCCAATACCCACTCTGGAAATCCCAAAATTTATTCAAATGGATTTTAACAGTTTTCCATTTCTATATATACATTTGTCACAGTCTATATAGTAATGCATCTAATAAAGATATTGATACCAGATACCAATTAAGTATTTGACACTAATTTTTTAAATTTATATAGTTTTGAAATATCAACATATTTTGTTTCTAATTTAATTAGTGATAAGTCAAAATTTCGCTGACAAAGGCGCCGCTATCGGGCGATATAGACTTGGTTAAAACAATGAACAATTGATAATAAACGGCCAAAAACGCATAGTAAGCTGTTATATTTAGACTTCGTGATTATTAAGACAGACCCTCTTTGTAAAAGGTTGCCTATTAATTGAAAGAAATATACATTGATATTGATTATCCAGACCGCCATTTAGACAAGACACACAAAATCACACTTCGCATTTTTAAAGATAAATTGTATTTATTTTCTGGTGCATTAAAGTAATATTAATTGTAATATAGTGTAGTGAATAGCTTTAACTTTTAGCAGTTAAAGCACACTGCAATTTGAAATGGGCGTATCACTTACTTTTCTACACTGCTTATGCCAGACTATCTTTACTCAGTGGCGCCTGCCGACAGTTAGTTTAATGACAACAAATGCATTATTCTCCATTCAAATTAGTTTTATCCGGAATACTTTTTTTGATTGATTATCGTAGATAATGTTTTAAAAAGAATTATCACATTTTTAATTGATATGTCTTAACTAAATATAGTATATATAAATTTGTGAAACGTGACTGCAAAAAACATCATGGTGTTTATAATAAATTTAAAATACATAACATAAAAATATTATTATCAAAAAAATTACAACTTGTTGTCACAAACAAATAAACAATTTCGCAGTTATAGCTTGAAAATGATCTCAAGAAGTTATTTATTTGTTAGAGAAAACTGACTTTTTAGACTACATTTGTTAAACTAAAATAAATAATTTCAATGTTTTCAAAATAACTAAGACTACTGTAAACTGTAAATACTAAGCAAGTTGATGAAGAAAATACAAGAATGAACAACTGAAAATAAATTCTGATTCAAGCGAACTAACTGACCCTATGTTCATGAGATTTGACGCCACGAAGGCGATAACGATGAAACTAAACGCCAATGATGAGTAACACTTTTCACTATTAGATTTCAGTATTTTTTAGCAATTTTCTTCAAAGTTGGAACACGCTTTTCTCGACACAGAAAGGTAAAAAAAATCAACAATTACAGAAAAAAAACTCTTTCAAGTGATGGGCGTAAAAAGTTTGGTTATAATATAACGTTAATCAGTATAATCCAATATTTTGACAGAAGTTTCAAAAAAATAAAAAAAAGTAACCCCATCATTTTAAAGGCAACATGATTTCGAATAACGTGTCCAAATTTCGAAACTTTTTGTCTGTTAATAACCGAGAAAACACTGTTCCTAGGTTTTGGTGCACCGATAAAACAGCCTTAATAAGTCCAAATAAAAATTGATTATTGTGCATTTTACCTCTGATGAGTATAAATACCCAAAGAAAAAATATTTCAACCCATCTTATGTATGCGAGATTAGAAGGATCCGCACATATAGTATATATTCAATAAAAAATATTAAGTGTCTATTTCAAAAAATAAAAATAAACTGGCTAGCTTTTTCAATATGTTAGGAATCAACATATACAATTCTTTCACAAACACTTGCTTGATTAAAAAATAGTATATTTTCTTAATATAATAGTCCACTTTTGTATTAATTTAGTAATTTAAGGTAATAAATCATTTTTAATGAAATTAAAATATTTAGTCATTATTTACCTTCATTATCTTCACTTTCTTCTTTGTTTTCAGCTTCAACTTCATCTTTTTCTTGTGCAGATTTATCAGCAGCTGCTGTTTCAAGAGGATCAGCTAATGGATCTATTTCTGGAGCATCTTTTGCTTTTTCTGATTCTTCTGCAACTAAATTTAACACATTGAATATTACCAATAAAAATTTTAGTTTATTTTAATTTAAGAATGTTTAAATAAAATGAATTTTACCTTTATCACTTTGAACTGTTTCAGGATCAGGTGTTTCTTTCTGTGGCGTGACAGGGGTGGCAGATTTTGCGGGTTCAGTTACTGAAGTGGGAGGGGTAATTGGTCTAGTTACAGATTCAGCAGGTTCTGCTATTGATGGTGATGGGGCCTGTGCAGGATCTGGAATTGACTCTGCATCTTGAACAGAATCTGATACTGAAGGTGAAACTGATGCAGCTTCTTCTACTTTGTCTTCCGAGGATTGTTGAGCTGTTTCAGCTTCTTGCTGTGTTGGCTCGGGAGATTTGGGTTTTTCAGTTGTTAATTCTTCAGGTGTTTCTTGTGGAGGTTCCTACAAACAGAAAATATGTAAATAAGTAAACATTATTATTTTGACAGTAAATCAAAAACAAACAATATTCAAGCATCAAAAACATCCTATTTCAGTATGTTACATTATATAAATCATACTGGAATAATATAGACCATAACAGCACTGGTAACTACAATGGAAAACCTATGTTCAGAAAATGAATTCTTCTTCTTAGAGTGGTGTCTTTCTACAGAGGTTGGCAATCATAATTGCTATTTTTAATTTTTAACTTGTTACTCTAAACAAATCAATTGATCTCCATTGATACCAATCACATAGATTCTTCTAAAAAATTAATAGAAAAAGGTAATTATAGGTAGATGACTGGAATAAATAAATAAAATAGCTTCGTAATATATCAAATTGCTGAATTGTTTACAAAAGTAGCTACTCCTTAATGGACTAGCAGAATGAAGATAGTTTACTAACAATATTTTTAAGGTGTTAACTATATGGCTTACTTGAACATAAGTGTGAATTACAAACTTTTAATTTAAACAAATAAATGCTGAAGGAAGCAATATGGCTGTGTAACAAAATAAATGTATTCATTTAATATTTAGGAAATTTGAAATTGTGGAATGTTTAAAATATATGGAAATTAGAATGAAACAGCCATAGTTAAATATCTAGATGCAGATATCACAGAAAAAGAAGGTCATGTAATACTTTATATACCAATATAGAAAGAATTTAAGGTGATATTAGGTGTCTGAAATATCTTGTAAAACGCTAACAGTCTTATTAATAAAAATTGCTTAGTCCGAAGTTAGTCTCGGACTAGTTAGTCCCAGATTAAGCGAGGACTAACTTCATTTTCAGAATGTTATTAATAAACATGGACTAAGCTCAGACTAACTAAACCTTCCTTAGTCCTAGGTACAACAAGTTTACGTTGGCAACCATTGCGAAAAAGAAGAAAAATTGAGTGAATTTTGTGAAAAAGAAGAAAAATATTTGAGAATTTGACAGTTAGCATAAGTTGAAGTTGAAGCACGTGGGGTTAATTTTAGTTGACTTGACTGTGTTGTGTTGTGAGAAAGTTTGTTTATATTTTATATTATTTGTTTTACCTGAAAAGTTTAAACTTTTTAACTTAAAATGACCGAACAAAAAGCAAAACGTATTCGTTCAATGAATTGGGATGAAGAAGAAAGGGTAAGTAATTTGCTTAAAAGTTTATATTAGAAATTTTGCTAGTTCTGATTGTTTTTTTTTTGTAATATTCCAGCAATTGTTTCGTAGTATTTTGAGAGACTATTCCCACATCATAGAGGAGAAATCTTTAAATGCAAACTCCAATAAATCAAAAACAAAAGCATGGGAAGCAGTTCATCAAAAGTGAGATATTTTATAAGTTCTAATAAAATTTTATTAATTATTAATACCTATATAAACATTTTTGTAAAAAGTACACAGAAATTTCATATTTATTTAATCAATTTGTTTAATTAACAGTTCCCCAACTTTGTTTTTGTTTAGGTTCAATGAATTAAATAGCAGACCTAGGGATTTAAGACAATTGCAGACCCAATGGAAACATATGAAAATGAATGCCCGCAAGGTTTACAGCGATTATACTCGAGAGCAGAAAAAGACAGGAGGTGGACAGGGACCCACAATTCCAGATGAGATAGTGATGGAGATTAAGGACATCATGAATCCTGCAGAATTGTTGAGAGATCATAATGTATATGATTCTGATGGCCCTGTGAGTTTTCATATAATAGGTATTATTATATACATTACAATAAATTTTGTTTTTCACAGATAATACAATTATCAACTTATGAAGAACCAAGTACTAGTGAAGAAGTGGACACCCAATTAAAGGTCAGTAGATTTATCAAAGATTTAAATTTTTTAATTATGTATATGATTAATGAAAACATCTTTTAACAGATATTTGAGAATGATATATTGTCACCAATGGAGAGTGAAGAATTTACAGAGGTGGAGAGTGAACATGTGGAGATTAAAGAAATGAAACAGGTTAGTTGATTTGATGTGCCAGGGCTAAATAATGAGTTAATGACCATATTTGCACAATAGTTTACAAATATTCATTTAATTATAATTAAGTTTTGTTTGTGTAATACATATTATTATTTTAGTTTGTTAATGAAGGGGCAAGCACATCGAAAGGAAAGGACATACCGTGCATCTCCACTCCCATTAGGAAAAATTTTAAAAACGTAGAACGCAAAATTAGTAAGAAGGTATGTAGGTATAAAAAACAGCATCTTTGGAAAATTTTAATTAACAGTATGTATTCCAAAAGTATTCAGCTAGGGAATGCAAAGGTTTATTCTGTCATTTTATTTGGCAAAAAAAAATAGAAGACAGCTACTTCATTGATTTAATAAAAACATTTTGCTTTATATTTCTAAGACTTCATCAGTTCACTACAAAAAAAGATGACAAAGGTTAAGAAATAAACCTACCATTGATAACATTTTCATTAAATCAATGAAGTAGCTGACTGCTATTTGTTTTTGCTACTAAAATGACCTAATAAACCTCTGCATACACTAGCTGAATACTTTTGAAATTTAAATTGATGGTTGCCCAATATATATATATATATATATATATATATATATATATATATATATATATATATATATATATATATATATATATATGATGTTTATATATTCTTATCTTAGTTCTCATAGTCAGTATTTTAATCAACTTTTATTTTTCCAGATATCCAAAGGTAATTTAAAAAAAGGTGCTGCAAAATCTCAGGCTATATCAAAGGTATTTAATTATATAACTTCTGATAACTGCTATGTGCATGTAGTATTAAGGGCCGGTTCTACAATGCTAGTATATACTGAGAATAAACTTATACTTGGAATAACTTCATTAATGGTGTTCAGAGCATTTATTATTTGTGTTCAAAGAAAGCATTTATTATTTCAATTCTAAAATTTTATGATATGTATGTAATGTAATAACCTCTACTCATATGACTACTATTGTATAGGTATAATCTTACTGAGGCAATAATTTTTTAATGTTTTGATAACAGAGACTGTAATTCTAGAATCTGTATTATATAAACATTTCTTTAACTAAAATTATATATTTTGTAATCCAATATTTATACTTGTTTAAAATGTGGAGAACCTATAGAGATATATTTACATAATTTTGGTTATTATATTACAACACTAATCTCAGTTGATGATTTAATGAGTTATACTCAGAATAACTATTCTCCAATTTATACCTGGACTGTAGAACTGGCCCTAAGTCATGTACTATTAATGCATGTAGTATTAGGTCCTTAAATAAAGCTGAAATTGTAACAGTTGACTGCCAAATCTTTCCTTTTTATTCATATTTTAACTATTATTATAATTTGCAGGATCAAGAATATGTGGCAAGTATGGTTCAATTGTCAACTGAACTAAAAGAAAAAGAGCACAATAAATATATGGAGTTTCTAGAAATTGAGCATAAGAGACGCATGAGAATTATGGCAAGAGAGCATAGGATGGTTGAAAAAGAACATAGCCTCAAAAAAAAAGTTCAGGAGGAAACTTTAAAAAATATTTTATTACAAAGGGAAAATATAAAAAATACTAATAAACATAATGAATTGTAAAATATTTTATTAAATAAATTTTGTTTTTAAAAATTTTCGTTAATAAACGCAGCTCGAGCTGCATTCCCTCTAATTGTATTATTTATTGCAGGTATTTCTGGCATACCATCATTTCCTGATTGTTCAATATCATCAACCATATCAACTTTGTAAATGGCAATATTGTGAAGTATTGCCAATGCTACAATATATAATTTTGTATTTTCTAATTTGGTGGTAAACCCATGTAATAAACATCTAAATCTTTGTTTCCACACACCAAAACACCGTTCCACTGAGTTGCGGGTTCTTATATGTGCCCTGTTGTAGCGTTCTTCTCTTTCTGTCCGTGGATTTAAGACAGGAGTAAATAAATAAGATGTGCAGGCATAGCCTGAATCTCCTAATAATCTGCCTTTGAACTCAGATTGCTCACACCTACGTTTTAAACTACACTCATTAAATATTCTGGAGTCATGAGTGCTGCCTCTCCAGTGAGCTACTATGTCCATAATTTCCAAATTTGCATTGGACACAACCTAAAAGAAAACAAACATTTATGTCTTGAAATAGAGTAAAATAGTATTACATACTAGTAAATAAGTGAATGAAACAGCTCAGTAATTCCAGTCATATTATCTTTGAAATAAATTAAAAAATACAAATTTCTGGATTTTCACTAGCATTCTATTTATAACTTGTCACAGCTGTTTAACATATGTGACTTTATATATGTCACAGTGAAACAGTTTTTAGATTTAGAAATAAAACCACACTGAACATCTACAGGGTTTTGTATATTTTAAAAATATATAAATTTTAGACATTCAGCAAGTGGTTTTGAAACTTTCTTGTTGTTTTTTTTGCTAAAATTATTGTATATAAGCCCAGAAGGTGACTTATGTTTTGACATATACAATAAATTTAGTAAGTGACCAAATTAGCCTAGAATTATTCTTAACTTACTTGTACATTTATTGAACTATATCCTTTTCTATTTATGTAATATTGTCCAATGTTTCCACTAACTTTTGGTATTCTTATATGAGTGCAGTCAATAGCTCCGATTACTTGCCTAAATCCACATATTGCATAAAAACCTGCAATTGTGGCATTTTGTTCCAAATCATTTTCTGGCATTTTAATCCAACGAGCTCTATGCTGTACCAGAGCTAAAGCCACTTGTTTACAAACAATGGAGACTGCTGGCTGACTTATACCACTAATATCTCCAGCATCATCTTGAATCTGTTGAAATTAAAATGTAATCAGTCAATTTAGAAATTAAATTTTGCTGAGCTTATAGTGTAACTAATAAATATTTAGAACTAAAAGTTAACAATACTAGATGTAATATAGATATACTTTTATTAATAATTTTAATAAAAATTTCACTTACTTCTCCACGGGCCCAAGTTCTTATTGCAGACAAAACTTTTAAATGAGGAGGTATATGTCCACCTCTGGAATCACCAGATAAATCATCTCTAAGCATATCTATTATAAAAACTGCTGTAGCTTTTGAAAAGCGATATTTGCACTTAAATTCATTTTCTTCTAATTCTTCTAGAGGATTTTTTCTAATTTTATATATTTTAATATGTCTTAGATGAATATTATTTCGCTGATTTCTATGGTCATTAAGTTGTTCTATTAATCTTAAATCGTTGATAAAATAATCTTCCATTATTAAATAATCAAATAATAATAATCAAAAACAATTCAGGTTATGAATACCAAAACTCATGTCACCTAATGTCAATTGTCAAGTTAGTCACTCTCTAAACCTGCCACTACCTCGGATTAAATGTTAGTCCGAGACTAGCCAAGGTTTAGCTTAGTCTGTCCTTAGTCTCTGTTTATTAATACGAAAAATGAATATTATTGGTGTAGTCCTGGGACTAATGTTAGTCCAAGGTTAGTCCATGTTTATTAATAAAGAGAGTAAGAGTTGAAGTAATTCAAGAAGAGTTCAACAGAGAATTCAACATTGTTGCCAAACTTATTATTTTTATTTGATGTGTCATCTTTTTAGCATTTGAAAAATGAGCTGAGACAACAAATTTGGGCCAATTGATTTAAATAGCAGCTTCCTATTTTTATTGGGAATAAGCCTATAAGTCACAATTTTACTAAAAAAGAAATTTTAAGGTTTTGATTTCCCCTTTGGAAATCGTTTTCAAAATTCAAAACATTAATAAATAAGATGTATTAATGTTTTGTATTTTGAGAATGATTTGCAAATCATTCTCAAAATAACTGTAAATATTTTTAATATCCATGACCTAAAAACTAGGAAAACCATGTTCTATGTATATCATGATGGTATGGGCAAACAAGAACCCAATGAGGTGAACAGAGAAATTCCACCAAATATTAAATATTAAAAACTATAAAAAATGGTGGCCCATTTAATATAAAAAAAAAATTCTTTGTCTACTGCATCTTATGGAAGAAGTATTAGAAAGGAAGATAAAGTTTCTTTTCTGATTTCTAATTTTATGCACTTTAGCTACATTAAGGAGGACAAAGGTGTTGCGACTGCTCACAATTTTATTGATGGCATAATAGAGCATGAATTTAGGTTAGGAACATCTAATGGAAAAGTCCCAATAAGTGGAAAAAAGATGTTGAGTATCAAAAAGTTTTGTAATGTTTATTGTAGGAAAAGATGAAAACATTGAAAAATTTCAGAAAATATTTGAATGTCCAACTGTTGATGGTGACGAAGACAATGTTAATGAAGATTGGACGGACTTTTTTTAATGTATTCCATTTTATTTTGACCTAATAAACTATTAAAAAAAATGTTTTGTGTTTATTCTAGAAACCCCACATGTCCACCACCATTTTATTCTTTTTCTCTCACAAGATCAGAAGATTTTTTTTGTTTTGGCTAAAAACTTTACAGAAAATATCCATACTTTATACTGTACTAATTACTTTTATTAATTGTTAAATTGTTTTTAAATAAAACAGTTTTTTAAATTTTTCTCAAAATGTTCATTTTTGGAGATGTGGGGTTGCTCAAGTAAGAGATTCAATTATAATCTTTGTCTATTGAGTAAAACATAATGGGGGTTCATCTTTGTTAGATATCTCAATAATTTTGTAATACCCACCAAAAAATGTTTCTATACTTGTATACTGTGTTTTATTCAATTCATTTTTGGACATTATTTGTCTTCCCAAATAATCTCTATCCATTTAGTTTAGCTTGTTTCTTAGCAAGAGACAATTCAACCTAGTACATCCTGCTAGATAGTTAACAAGGCTATAGTTATCATGCATGAGTGAGATAACAATACTATAGTTTCATAATATCTCATGAGAATTAAAGAAATGTAATTCCCATTAATCTTAAAAACAATAAATAACAACTAGAGCAAAACGGAAGTTATTTTAAAAAGTCCTTTATTATTACTTTAGAAGGCTTGAGCTTGAGTTTTTAATTTTTACACTTACCCTTGGGGGTTCTTGTACTTCAGAGGTTTCAGTTGTGTTTGAAGATTCAGGTATCACATGATTTTCCTGAGGTTCTGGTTTTTCTTCCACTGATCTTGATGGTTCTTCTTCTGTGGTACCATTAGACTGAGGCCTTTCCTTTTCTACTGAAGGTTCTTTACCTTGTACAGTGGAATTTGAGTTGGAATTGGAATTCGATAAATTTTGTGAGGAGGGTACACCTTGTGGAGTAGAGGCTGTTGGATTTGTAGCTGGTAATGTTTGGACAACAGGAGGTAATGTGTTTTGCTAAAAATATACAAAATATTTAGAACATAGTTAAAAATTTTTAAATAAATCATTTTTTAGAAATAATTAATATTATATTACTTACGTTTTGTGCATTTTGAAACCCACTTGAATATGAAACATTTTTTGGTGCATTGTAAACCTGACCACTGGATGACTGATTGTTAGCCAAAGGGTGGTTACTAGCTGGGATAGCACCCATATTAAAAGGAGAACTACCACCAAGCGAGTAATGGTTCTGTTGAGATGGCGGATGATTATGTGCCATATTAGTATTTGGATAAGGGTTTTGAGTTATAGGCCCTGAAGGCTGTCCGTATGATACTGGAGCCCCCTGGGGATGCATTGGTTTATTAGGAGTTGCTGAACTTGCTTGAGACGTGACAGGATTTAAAGTTGTGTTCATTATATGTTCTTCTCAAATGCCTGAAAATGAATTTCAACAATATGAGTTACCTGTAATACAACTATATTTTATATAATATTATACAATATTAAATTAAATAAATAAGAGTATATGAGAAGAAGAAGAATAAGCTGATGAACTTGCCAGAAGAACTTTTGCTATAAAATACTTTGGTTTAAGGTAGGGTACCAAAAAGCATTATCTGTGACTGGAAAAAGGCTGGATCTAAAGGTAATACAACTCTCACTGGAAAAACATACTGACTTAAACACATAGCAAAATATATATTAGGCAGATATGTGTTAATCAGGCTTAAGTACTGTGGAAAACAAGCAGAAATCAGCTTAGGTTTCCTCATTGGATATGCACCAGTCAGGAGACAACTGCATAAAATGGGACTGAAAACCTGAAACAGTCAACCATACCTTATTTGACTGTGAGTAATTAGACCACAGGCAGCAAACACTTTTGGAGATTACTGAGTGACTCCAAAACATACCATACTCATCCTCTAGTCCTTTATAAGCTGGTATAGGGTTCCAGAATCTTGGAATGGGTATCATTAGTGAATGGAAGATGTACAATAAGCCAACTTGCTACAGTACAACTGGTTTATAACAGACCACTTCTATAGAAAAAAAGCTAATTCTAAAAACATCATTAACAGTTTCTTCTATTTGTTTTAGATTTTGAGATACACAAAAATTAAAAATTTTCTTATTGTTTATTATTTGCCTAATACTTTTGGTAAGGAACTATTATCTTCAACATAAATACCCTTAATTTCCCTTAATAAATCCAAAAAATGATTTACTTTTCAACAAATATCTCCACCAATAACTATAAATATATCTAAACACTTGTCACTTTAAATTTAAACTATTGATTAATAAGTGTTTTTTGAGAATGAGAATGCTATTAAAATTAGAGGTTTTTTGCTATTTGTATGTGAAAAATATAATTAAAAGAGAATAAAATACCAGTCTGTGAAAAAGACTTACATGGCTTATTTTGAGATTCAACTAGGAGATCAAAACATTGTGTTGTTAACATGATGTTTTTATAGCTAAAATCTGCTTGAATGAAGTTAGCATAATTATAAATACAAATATGTATATGGCAAAATGTGGACATAGTTTAAAATTTTGGCTTGCCTTTATATTCAGGTGTTCAAAATCTGAAGTCAAATTCAAGGTACGAAAAAAATGAAGAAAACAAACAATTTTAAATAAATATTCATATCAAATAAAAAATTATCCCATTTATTTTTAATTTCCTGCAAGTATTTGATCTGTAAACAGAAACACTCCCAATAAAAAGAAGAGAAATCTTGTATTGCTTAGTATGGCAACATTGTAAAATTAATGATAAAAAACTCAAAACATTAATACATCAAGCGGAATAAAGTTATAATTAGCTATTTCAGTAACTTGTAATTGCCTCTTGGAGAAAATAAAAAAAACATTCAAAGAATTGATACAAAAAGTTTGTATCCAATCATAGTTCATATAATGCCCTTGAATTATGTAGGTGCCTAGTGTACAAACAGAGATCATAAGCATGTAAAATCTGAATTCTATACATTATGCACGTGAGAATCATTACACGGATATATATCTAGGGTTAAAAGTGGTAGTTAGATATTTAAAATATTAATTATCCAGGCTATACCTGACTACCGGCCGACTTCAAACACACCTTCACACCTATAAAACAATAACAATAAAAACAAATACCAACACGAAACAATTGCTAGCAGCCAAGTACAACTTTTACTAACAGATGAAATTAGTATAAAAAATCAGTATATCCTATTAAAACCGAATTGAACATTGTTTACGGGTCAAACAGCTTGGGGTATCTACTTCAATACTCGAAATTTTCACGTTGAATGTAACAATTTTTAATTGCGCTTTGCACTTGTTTTTATTAGGACGTTCAGTTTTATTTAGAGAACACCAAACAACTAATTTACTCACTTATTTCCATAGCAGACGTTATAAATTTTATTCTATTACACAAAATTACTTTTCACTTATGGCGTCTGTAGAACGAACAGTTACGAACAGAAACAGAAACAGATCATGATCAACTCTCTCACTCTTGCTTTTGCCGTCGCCGTCTTGCAGTCAAGTTCTATTTCAGACGCTTGTCGATAGATGGGGTCGAATTGGTGATCAACGTGCTGTCAAAGCACAGTAAGTAACGTAACACGTAACGGACGTAAACATATCAAGTGATTATAAATAGGTACACAATTTTGTATTTTCGTGAAATAGAGATTTCCTTTTCCTTTGTAAATATTTTTTACAAATAAATTTATGTTTATATAAAATGCCAGATGTAGCTATAAAAATAAATGAGTATATCGTTAACTGCTTTCAATTTTGCTAGATCGCTATATAGAAACCATCAGTGACGTCACAACTTCAAAATGAACATTGTCTCCTTGTGTTTGCTATTTTGTTTACGAAATCAAATCCACTACAGATAAAGATATAAAGCCGGCCACTCACGGTACAGCGGTGTCGTTCGACATAATCGGACAGCGGCGTTGTTCAATTTGTTGGTATATCTGGTGCGCACACACACCTTACTGCGCCGCAGTATTTGTTCGGTTCTCGACCATGTCAAATCAGACAATCATTTTAGCGTCTCTTACTTTGTATATAACTAAGCGTAAAAGAAACCTAAAATAAAACGTAGATTCTGGTACAAAGAATCCAAGATTTTGGTTTAAAATAAATCTCGTCTGCCCCTGCACCCGATTTACTGGACTATAATGCTAATTTTAATTCTCTTTTATAGGATGTTCTAAAATTTCTACTCTAAAAAACCGGCAACACTTTATACACTTTTGCCACCCGCTGAACTGTCAATAATATTTGATATATTTCCGTATCAGTTGCGTACAATTGTCTAATTTATTTAATTAAAATTATTATTTTGTGGAATATTAGACTTCAAGAGTGTTCTCATAAAATTTATATTATTAATAATAATAAATGTTTTTGGTTATTTAATCAATATAATTCTAAAATTTACAATATAATGATGATTATATTTTTCTGATTATTACACCATGTAGACGCCTATGAAAGATCAGGCAGTTCCGTATGGGTTTCGTATTATTAGCTGTGAAAATTTGAACTATAAGGTTGATGTTCTGAAAATTTTAAATACAAGTGACGTCACTTTGTATAAATCGTGACGTGCAAGTGTTTTACTTTGAAAAATGGTATAGGTAAACTTGGGTCACAGTCTCGGCGCCGAAACCGGTCCTGTTTGGTCACAGAACTATTAATTATCTGACAGCTGGAAAACTGTTCGTCGCCTGATGAATGTGAATACCGGCGCCATATTTCTATTAAAGAATATTTTGTATGACGGATTGTTCGGTTCGGCGCAATCACTGTGACGAGACGTGACTGATGTGTCTGAATCGACCTTAAGCCGTCATGTTTTCAGCAGACTCAGTATCAGTAGCGTCGAGGTATCGTTTTCGTTTTCTTTATTGGTATTAAATATACGTTGTACGATTCTGATTCTTTGTACCATGCGTACGTTGTACGTTCACCTTATTTTTATTTCTCTATGGTTCACAGCAGTGGAGCGTTTAATTTCAGCTTAGATGTACAATGTACACTGCAGTTATTGTAGACTTTTGAAAACGAGTACAGATAGTTCTCATGTGATTTGTGTTTCAAGAAGCTGCAAAAACATGGTCTATAAATGTGGTTTAACGTTTTTTCAAAAGATCAAATCAAGTGGCTTCAGGTTTATACCTAGGTTATATTATTTTTATAATTATTTCGTACTGTATTTTCTCGGTATGTTTTGCACGGGCTTGAAATCCTATTTAGCGTGACTCGAAAAATTGAGTCGGGTGCAGATCATTATCAAAAACGTTTTTCTGATTTCTCTGATTGAAACGAATAATTTTTCTTGTAAATCACATTTTTTCTCAAGAAAACTAAAAAACTGTGAGCGATGATGTAAGTCTTTTGAACTATTTCATACTCAAATGACTTGCGCGTCGCAAAATATAATTTTTGTAAGTATTTCGATCAATAGTAAATTCTAATGTTCGATGGGTACAGATATATTTTTTAGAGCAAGTAAAGTTTGTTTACATAGAGATAAAAATCCACGTAATAACGTTCCACGTCATTACGTCTAAGAATTTAACCATGTTTCCACGTTTAACAATTTTTGAATGTGTAAACTAATCACACGCGATTTATTTTCATATACCGATTCTTGAGCGTGTCCAAAGCAATCCGGAAGTTTTCTTCTACACCTTCGATGTACAATTAATTGTAAACGTTCATTTTTCAGGAACGATTTGAGATAATAAATCTTTAAACATTGTTGAGTTCCATATTGTTGATTATCAGCGTCTCAAATAGCTGGTAAAACGCGTTCATCAATTTCTTCAATCTGATATCACCTCTTCATATTTCAGATAACATGTTTTCAATTCGGTGTTGTCTGAGTTGAAACTGGAGACCATCAGTTTCTGCATCTGCGTTTTCTAGCAACCAGTTTGCTATTCTGGTAATCTTGGCCTTCAGTTGCTTCCCCTTCTTCTTGAGATCTTCTATTTCGACTTTAACAGAAGGTGCTACTTACTACAGAATTCAGTGCCAACACTGAATTTTCTATAATCCCTTTCCTATAATGGCGCTGCGATTGAGTGGGGTCAAGGATTTAAAAACTGTGATGAAAATGATTGGACTACAGTTTCATTCATTGAGGTTTTGTTTATCCAGCTTATCATCGGTAAAAGGGTTAGGACTATCTCGAAACATGAAAAATATGAAATAGATATGACCAGGAAGTTTACACATACAGATATACTATAGTAATGTTATGGAGCGGAATAATGGTATGCAACATAACTAATCTCGTTTTTCGAAATCGTTATCGTATAACATATTTTTGTTTAACCCATTTCCTAACACAGTAGGCCAAAATTTCTAACTCATTTGTGATAATGCTCATCTACACGAGCCAGTTGGCTAGTAAGTAATTTGATTTGTTATCACTTTTGTTTTTAGTAAATTTATTTCTAAACCGATTTCCCATATTCTCGTTCCTTTAGCATACAGAGTAAGTGGTGGTTCCTCTGTATTATTGCTTATGAGTACTATGCCATCGGTAAATCTAGATGACTTGAAAATCTATCATCGATTTTAAGTCCGCATTTTTCCCAATTTGCTTTCTTGACACATATTCTAATGCACGAGTAATTAATTTTAGAGAGATCGTGTCTCCCTGCCTAATCCCTACTCCTGTTTCCGATCTTATTTTCCTTGTTATAATATCTTCTGCTAAGTTTATTTGCATAATTGCATTGTCGTATAGATATTTTATGAGTATAATATATCTGGAATCAATCCTTGCTTTATTCATTCCTTCTAATATGGCCCAGAGTTCTATGGAGTCGAATACTTCATTGTAATCCACAAAGTCAAATGGAGAGGTTCATTGTATTCAGTATACTTTTCTATAAGTGTATGTATTGTCTGTACAGGAGTTACTCTCCCCATCAATTTAAATACCTTTTTATGTATACGTAATATAAATTTCTACAATATTGTTTATAACCATGTAAAAAATTGATACCCAGAGGGTAGCGGGATACTTGCCGTGTAACAAAAACTGACTCCTGACGGTAGGTATAAAATGCAAACCCATGAAAATGGTGAATTATGATGAATGTTTAAGGTCACTGTCTGGAGATTGCCAGTGCACATCTGGAGCCGGCACTGGACGTGACAGCATGCGAGACGTTGGTGGCAGGGTGTTGGCGGGCCTCTGTCATACAATCAGCTACAGTTCAACAACAATAAGAACCACAAGTGAGCCAAACAATAACGGGAGCTCCAATCGCTGAAGGTGCTGCGCTGCAAATTAGCCGGTGCTCACTCAAGTGGGACGACCGAGGCAGCGCATGAAATTGACTGTGTCTATAAACGAAAATATTTTAACTGTTATTACAAGATGATGAACCTCGGTCGAGAAACGATCGTCTATCGACATCTGTATGCCGAATTTTGCAGGGAGTACCCAGAAATTCAAGTATCTGAACAGATAATAGCAGATTAATACCGGGTAATTATAAGAAATAATCTTATCACAGAGACTAGACGCGATACCATCAGAAACGAAGTCGAACGGGAGATTCATAACCCAGAGCTAGTTTTAGATCAAATCTCTAATGAAATCCCCAATGAGCAGACTCCTGAGCCTCTCATACAAGAAATCAACCTGTTAATATGCAGCAGGACAACAACGAGTTGCACGATAGCCTGGTAAGTGAAATGGCACGTGCTGCACAAAAGTTTAATGGGACAAACCCATTTAGCAGACCACTGCTACCAAAAATAAACTCATAAAAAACTAGGTGCGCTGTTACAAATTATGAACACTGAAGTCCTACCTAATTATATCGTGGAAGCCCATACATTAGAATATTTGTATATGCTGATTTACTGTTCAGCAACAGTAATTGCTAATGTTATGTGCATTAAGATCAGAACACGACAGGATACTTATATCGGAAGGATTGAAAACAGAATTGCACCCTGGGAAACACGAATGCTGAGGATAATTGAATTATTGCGAAGGGATATTGGATAAATTACAGAATATATCCGAGATGTAAGAAGTTGAAAAGTAATTAAAAGAGCTGAAGAAATCATTCTGAACACTCCAAGACACTCACAACATGATTCAGAAAACAACTCAGCTCAACACTGCCTGGACACGTTAAAACAAAAAAGTTGCCTAAGGAGAGATACAAAATTAGTAACAACCGGAAATGCGATAATATACTTTTTGAGCACGAAGAGAATGCTTTCTATTGAAAACTGAATTCCACCGTAGAAAATAAAAATAAATCCTAGACAAGCCAAGAAGAAATTCATGAGTTTTGGGGAAACACACACACACACAATAGGTTGGTATAAAATGATATATTTATATTATAAAACATTTATTCATAATTGCTCATAATTTTTTTTAAGAACAGATAATCCATAATATTATTAGTATTTATTATCAACT